AAAAAAAAAAAAAAAAAAAAAAAAAAAAAAAAAAATCACATCTCCAGAAAACTGTTTTAAAAATCAAAGCAAGCAATAACCTACTTGCCAAACTTGCAGGGTTCATGTGGGGTGCCAATGCCTTCATGATCTGTTCATCTGCTCTCACATCATGTTATTCAGTTGCATACTACCATGCCCCACTCCATTCCTATGGTTACCAGTCCTCAGTAACATTGCTCCCCCTCATCTCCACTGCACAAATGATGAAACAAGCTTACTAGACAGACTCCTTGATAATCCTACACTGCCAGTCCATTGGGACATAATCCACCCACTAATAGCTTGACTCCCCTCAAGACACCCAATATGGTCCACCCTTTCAGAATCGGTTGACTTTTCCTTACTTACTCAATGGCACAAAGAATAGTCAGCACAAGCACTAATCTATCACCACATCATCTCGGACCCTACAGTCACGCAACCTGGATTTAACTGGCTATGTCATTACTGGGCACTTTTCAACCATTTTCGAACTGCACAGGGTCACTGTCCCTCAAACCTATACCAATGGGGCCTTCACAATAACTACATTCTATCTGGCCCATGGGGCCGCTAATTAGAAAATTTAGAAAATTAATATTTATCTGCCCCTGGCTGCCTGTCATGCGGCCCTTGATGGATTGCCAAAACTCAGTAAGCAGCCCTCTGCCCAAAATAATTGCCTGTCCCGACGTACATTTTAATAAGAGAAGGCAATCAGGTTGGTCAGACATGACCTGCCCTTGGTGAATCCACACCAACTGTTCCTAATCACTTCTCCTCCAAGTGCTATGAAATAAGTTCCTTGAGGACCTGCTCCATGATTTTTCCAGGGTCTGAGGTGAGGCCAACCAATCTATAGTTCCCCAGATCCTCCTCCTTCCCTTTCTTAAAAGATGGCCAACTATATTTACCCTTTTCTAATTATCCAGGACCTCTCCCAAATCACCATGAGTTTTCAAAGATGATGGCTCTGCAATCACATCATCCAACCCATCAGCACCCTTGGGTTAATCATATCTGGCCCCAGGGACTTGTACCCATCCAGCTTTTCTAAATACTCACTAATCCATTATTTTGCCACCATCGGCTCCTCACCTTCTCCCCAAATTGTGCTGTTAGGTGCAGTAGTCTGGGAACTGACCTTGCCTGTGAAGACTGAGGTGAAAAAGGCATTCAGTACTGCAGCCTTTTCCACATCATCTGTCACTAGGTTGCCTCTCCCATTCAGTAAGGGACCCACACTTTTCCCTGATTTCCCTCTTGCTGCTGACATACTTGTATAAACCTCACTCATTACCCTTCATGTCCCTTGCTAGCTGCAACTCCAATTGCACTTTTGCCTTCCTGATTTCATTCCTGCATGCCCAAGCAATACTCTTACACTCCTTCATAGTCACTTATCCAAGTTTCCACTTCTTGTAAGCTTCTGTTTGGTGTTTTAGTTTACTAAAAAGAGATCCCTGCTAAGCCAAGCTGATCTTCTGCCATACTTGCTAGTCTTGTTGTGCCCTGAGTAATGTTTATTTAAAATACAACCAACCCTCCTAGACTCCCTTTCACCCACAGACTCACCTCCCATCCTGCCCAGGAGTTCCCCGAGGGAGTACAATTCTGCTTTTCTGAAGTTCAGGGTCCTTACTCCGCTGCACTCTTTCCCCTTCCTTTCCTCAGGAACCTGAACTCAATCATTTTATGGTCACAGCTGCCCAAGTTGCAATCCACTTCCACATTCTCCATCAATTCTTCCCTGTTTGTGAGCAGCAGGTCAAAAAGAACAAGGGCCCTAGTTGGCCTTGCCAACACATGCACTGGGAAGTTGTCCCCAACATTCTCAAAAAACTTCATACATTAAGGCACTACTGTATTGCCTTCCTAGCAGATATCAGGGTCACTGAAGCACCTGCCCCCCACCCCCCCAGACTTTCAAAACAGCCTGTCCCCAGTTTCATACTGGAACTTTGAGCAATCATACAGCTATTTAACACAGAGCGCAACTCCTCCTCTTCTGCCCTGCCTGTCCTTCCGGAACTGTTTGTACCCATCCATGACAGCGCTCCAGGTCATGCGAGCTCCCACCAAGTCTCTGGTATTCCAATCTTGTCATAATTCCTTGACTGTGCAAGGACTTCCAATTCTTCCTGCTGGTTTCCCAGGCTCTGTGCATTTGTGTACAGGCACCTGAAGTAACTAGCCTATTGCCCATCTTTATCAGGAAAGATGAGGCAGCCTCCCCTGTTGCCCCCTCCTGCTTGCTTCCTCCAGGCCACCTGCTTCCCCACTTCCCCAAGGGCTTTGGTCTCTATCCCCCGGCAAACCTAATTTAAAGCCCTCCACACTTCATTTCAGCCAAATTTTTTAGCAAACAACTAGATGACCCTCCCTATGTAGCACTATAATGCAATCAAATGCCTCTCCTCATATAAATACAACTATGCATGCAGCTTCTTCAGGAAGCACTCTGTCTTCTTCCAACATACACTACAGATCAATCTGGGTAATTTCCTATTATAGGGAAGTACAGAGCAGTGACTTCCAATATTCTGTATGTGGACCACTGGAGGCTCCTAAGGCTATGGTAAGTGGTCCACAGCAATTTTACAAACCCAGGACTTCGTTTTCATTTACATTCACATTTTCTTTATAGTACTTACAATTATAAAAAGGTAAGGATTCAGGGTATACTGCCAGAAATTGAGGATTTGGAAAGGTTTGGGGAATAAAGATTTCATATAACAAAAGAAGTGTCAGACTCATTTTCTTGAAGGTTTTTTGTTTTTTGTTTGTATTTTTCAGCTTCCAGATTCAGGGAAAAGAGATCTGAATTTGTTTAAACAGCAAGTCTCAATTCGAGATGGAAAACACTACACTGCTAACAAAGCAAGGAGAGTGAGCTGCTCACACCCTTCTCTTCCTTTATAGGACTACTACCCAGGCCTTTACATCAACAGGTTGTATGCTGAATATCACTTACAGACAATACTGGTCACAACTCTTATACTTTTCCCCTCCCATTTGCCTATATTGATCTCTTATACTCCTCTTGCCCCAGTACATGCTTTTCCAAATGCTCCCAAGCAAAAGAAAAAAGAAAAAAAAAAGCTCACGCAGCCATAAATGGTCCATAATGATCCACAGCCATAAATGGCTCAACAATACTGATGAAGGAAACAAGGATACCTAAAACTATATTATGCTCATGAATTTCAAGCCACTGCTACAGACCTCAGGAGATGGGAAGTAAAAACAGGCAGAAACAGAGATGTAGATATTGATGGATGTTACCACAGCAGTCTCCAACTTCAGAAAAACAGCCAAAGGGGTGAAGAATAGACCAAGAGCCTGCAACTTCTTAAATTCTGTGTTATAAATATGCCCAGAATACACAAAGGTGCATTTAATGTTTGTGTTATCTGATAGATTGGGTGATAGTCTACAGAGTGGGGACCATGAGTGGATGAGATGGGACAAGGTTGCATTTGTCAAAGGTGTTGAAAATAATGCTACACTAATTGAGATGCGATTGTCTTCTGCCCAGACTGAAATCAACACCACAGTGGCTGAAAGGGATCTTGGAGTCCTAGTTGACTCCAGGATGGACATGAGCCATCAATGCAAGGAAGCAGTCAGTAAGGCTAACCATACCTTGGTCAAGCATCTACAGATGCACCAAGCAGGTCCAGGGAGGTGATCGTTCCCCTCTAGGCAGCACTAGTCAGGCCACAGTTGGAGTACTGTGTCCAGTTCTGTGCACCGCACTTCAAGAGAGATGTGGTTAACCTTGAGAGGGTACAGAGGAGGGCCACTCACATGGTGGGGGGCAGCAGGCCATGCCCTATGAAGACAGACTAAAGGGCCTGAATCTATTCAGCCTCCACAAGAGAAGACTGAGAGGAGATCTGGTGACCATCTATAAACTCACTGGGGGGACCGGCGGAAAATAGGTGAGACACTGTTCCCCCTGGCACCACCTGGGATAACAAGGAATAACAGCCACAAATTGATTGAGAGAAGGTTCAGGCTTGATGTTAGGAGGCATTACTTTATGGTTAGGGCTGCCAGGCTCTGGAATGGGCTCCCAAGGGAGGTGGTGCTCTCCCCTACCTTGGGGGTCTTCAAGAGGAGGCCACACAGATATCTGGCTTGGGTATTACGATCCCAGCACTCATTCCTGCCTGCCCAGGGCAGGGGGGCAGGACTTGATGATCTGTTCAGGTCCCTTCCGACCCTAGAAACTATACGTCCTTTGGCCACAGAAAAGAAACAGAAAAGGTAGCAAAAGCTTAATTTCCACATAAACATACCAATCTTATTTTGGTAGAATTACTGTATTTTTAGGAACACGTGTGGATTATTCTCCAGAACTATCCACTTTGAATCTCTACACTGGCACTGCCAGCCAGGGTGATGACACTTTAATATGGACTATTATTAGAAGATATAAACATATTTTACAAAGGTCAGTCACAGTTCACAAACACATTCAAGCAACAACCAACATTAAATTGTTAGTACAAAAGCATGATAAGAATACCATTAGTAATAATCTTAACATGCATCTTTCAAGTGGTAGCTTTAAAAGGAACTAGCTCGCATTTTAAAAAGGAGTGGAAGCCTGAATGTAAAAAGCTTGTTCTCAACTCCTCTTGACTGGATCCAACTTTCCTATTTGCAGCCATTCACATAGCTAATGTTTTGTATATTACAATTCAGAGAGACCTCAGCAAATTGGAGTACTGGACCAGAAGAAATCTCATGAGGTTCAATAAGGACAAAATGCAAAGTCCTGCACTTGGGACAGAACAATCCCACGAACAGGCTGGGGACTTACCAGCTAGACAGCAGCTCTGCAGAAAAGGACCTGGAGGTTACAGTGGACAATAAGCTGAATATGCACCAACAGTGTGTCTTCGCTGCCAAGAAGGGTAGGTAACAGGATGCATTAGTAGGCTCTATTCAGCACTGGTGAGACCACATTTAGAGTACTGTGTCTAGTTTGGGCCCCCCCACTACAGAAATGATACAGACAAATTGGAGAGTGCAGTGGGAGGGGCAAACAAAATGGTTAGGGGGCTGGGGGCATGACTTGAGGACAGGCTGAGGGAACTGGGCTTAATCAGGTCTGGAGAAGATAAGACAAAGGGGATTTAACA